CGGTGGAATTTCAGCAGCGGTATCGAAGATGAGCAAAGTGATGAATGCAAGAGATGGATTTTATGTCAGAGTCTGTTTTTTGGGGGGTTGTCTGTTGGTTTTTTCTTCTTGCTATCTTGCTTGATGGCATTGGGCATATCCTTTCATCTCATGAGCTTCACTGCCCTCCTCTAAAACAGGGCAAAGCTTGCCTCCCTCTGAGAAATCTGGCTAGATCCTTGCCCAAAAGCCCGAAGCACTAATAGCAGGTTCGAGTGGTCGTTACTAGAATTTGTTTCGGTGATGCGCTTTGTACGAGCACGTTCCCCCGTGCTTTGAAGTTAACATTTGGTGCATTTCTTTTTTTTTCTTATTGCGAGGTCTGTGGTAAAAGCACAATGGCTTGGCTTACCTGAGGTTTTGGGCTGTGTCGTCGTGCTGAAAACACCTCCAGGGCTACGGGGCTCTCTGGCTGCTGTCACCTTGCAACACCCTGGTTCATCTTAGGTGTGAGTCCCACAGCTGCTCTTAGCTGAGCTCTAACACCTGGCGTGGACAGGATCAGAAAGGATGTGGGTGCTCCTGCTTGCAAAATAGGACGTGTTTTGCTTAAACGGCCTCTGTCATGGTTTAAGGCTTTTTTTACTTCACGGTCACAGTGGGCTGTGAAGGTGTTGTGCTCAGCTCACCTGATGAGCGGGACCTTGCTCCACCGCTGGAGCTCGCGAGTGAACTTCCCTCAACCCAGCCATGGTCATTGAGGCAAGGAAACGGTCGTTTTCTGTTTAAATTTTTAGGGCAGCTTAAGGTGTGGGGTCGCTTTCTAACATTTTTGTGGCAGAAAAAGAAAACCTCGCTCCTGTAGACGTGGCTCTTCTTTTAGCTGGCAGTAGGAATCGTGATTTTAGTGCAGGATTTCTAATCTCTGCAGTGACCACAATTTTTCCCGTTGCGTAGCGGATAGCTCTGTTAACGAGCTTTTCGACCTTAACGGTCTCTTGCCAATTCTTCTCTGTTTCAGCCTGAAGTTCAGTTAGGTGAAGCAGGAACTTCCTCTAAGAAACACTTTGCTCGATGAGTGACCGTCTTCAGAAGCTTTTGGCCATCTGATTCGACGGTGCCTTTGGATGTCACAATTCAAACCACGCTTACGTGGGCTCAGCTTTGTGTCCGCTCCTGAGGGCAGCGGGACTTGAGCTCAGGTCTTCCCGGTCCTTGGCAGTCGCGTCGGCCCTTGCAGTGTCCTTTTTGAGATGAGGTTGCCCGTCGCTGTGTGTAGGATTGTCTTTGATCTTTTCCATTTTGGTCTCCCTGGATCGATAAACATAGAACTGTAGAATCAGAATGGTTCAGGCTGGAAGGGACCTCGAAGACCATCCCGTTCCAGCCCCTGCTGTGGGCAGGGACACCTCTCTCCCACCAGCCCAGGTTGCTCCAAGCCCCGTCCAGCCTGGCCTTGAACCCTTCCAGGGACGGGGCATCCACACCCTCCCTGGGCAGCCTGTGCCAGGGCTTCACCACCCTCATGGGGAAGAATTTCTTCCTTATATCTCATCTAAATCTCCCCTCTTGCAGTCTCAGGCCATTGCCTCTTGTCCTATCCTTACAGACCCTTGTAAAAACCCCCAAATTTCACCTCAGAATGTGGCAACTGGATCATCCTGGGGGCTGTTTTACGTAGGGTGAGTGGGATTTATTTTACACATTTCTTTTCTGGCTTCTGGAAAACCACAGCATCTTGGCTTTGCATTACTCTTCTCATGTCCCAGCCTTGTTCTGGGCACTGCTTTGTGTGCTGACACCTGCCAGAACACAAACGAATGACTGCAGTTCTTTTTCCCTGCGAAATATCTTACTCCTCAGAGGCTGTGGCTCTTAGCGATGTATTAAATAAAGAAATAGAGGACAAATAATTCTCCCTGCTGTCCTGCCCCGTCCCAGAATGTTAACAGCACGGAAGGAAAGCGATAGATTGGTGGCTGTGTGGCTGAAGAGGGCTTCGTGTTGGACCATTTCCACCGTGCTTGGCGTGACGTGCTGTGCTTGGTTCTTTTAATAGATTGGCATCTGATTTGCCTCCTCTGTGGTTCTGATGTGCTGTCTGAAAGCAACATTTAAATCCAGCAGGTGTAAAAATGGGTCCCAGGATAAAATTTGGCCTCTGAAGTGCCAAGTATAATTCAGCCCAGGGTCTCAAGCCCACCCAAGGCACAAAGGCTAAACTGCAGTTGAATCGGTGCGTGGTCTGTCGTGCCTGTAGTGACAGTTCCTAACGTTTCTTTTTGCAGTGAGGCTGGCTCCTGAACCTGTCTCCTCTTTCTACACCACTGTGCACATCGAATCCTCGTGGGTTTTCACTGACTGTTGCAGATTCTTCTTTGCTCCTACCTCTGTTCCTTCCAGCGGCGTGTGGAGCTCACGCTGACGAGTTTTGGTGTGGGTCTGCCTTACAGCTCTAACCCACAGCCTAAAAGATAACCCTTGCTACTCCCAAGTCCCTGGCTCTCCGTTTTCTTTATTAACATGTAAAAAAGTAGAAGAAGCAGCCAGTGCCTTTGTGTTTCTGTCCCTGACCGTTGTAGGAAACGCGGTTTTATGGGAGACACCCTCCAGGATGCCGCCCACCCTGTGCTTGTGAGGAAGGTGAAATACTCTCTGGTGTCCCCGCAGAGACAATCCTTCGAAGGAAACTTTTCTGCACTTCAGAATGGCAGAAATTCGAGTCCTGGTGCATGCGAGGAGGCTTTTCTTAACTGCTCGATCACATTTCTTATTTGCTCATCCAGCCAGCTGTTAGCTCGCCGCTTGGAAAGGGGGTTCTGGCAAGTACTTTCTGAGTAATTCCTGTCTTTTCACGGGTGCCATGCTCCACAGGATCAGGATGCATTTCTG